AGGGTGGCAAATGTCCATTATAAAGTCTCTTCTGTTGTCAATCTTTAATATTTTATATTAAAGGGGTACGGCCCATTGAATGTCCACAAAATATGCATTGGCTGGTAGAAAACATTTATCCTAAGTCAGAAATGAATTCTAAGCCCATGCCCATTACACTATATACTAATATATATCTATATATTAGTATATAGTGTAATGGGCATGGGCTAAGAATTCATTTCTGACTTATATATATCTATATATTAGTATATAGTGTAATGGGCATGGGCTTAGAATTCATTTCTGACTTAGGATAATTGTTTTCTACCATCAAATGCATTTTTTGTGAACATTCAATGAGACGTACCCATTTGTTTTATATTATTGGGCAAACATTTTTCCTCTCCTTTTATTAATTTCACCAAGAACAATTCTTTTCTGACAATGATAATAATAATGATGGCGATGATGATAATAATGCTGATGATTTAGAAATGAAATGTACATACTAGATTTATTTTCACCTGCTGGTATGAAAATTATCATATTTCACTTGGGGCCATGTTTATTTTCATACCATTCATCCTGTATTTATAGAAAAAACTTGAATATTGGAAGGGGAATTGTATGCTCTGTGAAAAGTACAATAGATTATTTTTCTTTTAAAAAACATTGAGGGGAATGGTCTGCCATGTAAAGGGTACAATGTTTTTAGTTATACTGGGAGTTTTCTTTCAGTAAAATTTATTTTTTACTGTCTGTAAATTTTAATTTCCCTAAATTATAAGACTGTTCTAGCATTTTTGTATGAAAAACATACTTTAATTATCAGTCTTGAAATTAATCTATGCTAAGAATTTTTACCTACTTTTAATGTTAATGAATTTTGAGTATTTATTATTATTTTTTTATATATATTTTTCCTTTACCATTTTTTTTCTAACTGCTTTTCTTAATAACAATAATGTAGATCAAAAATTTTAATGATCATATCTGGAGACAGAATATAAAGTATTTCAAAAGAATGTGGAATCTATAATTATAAACTCAACAGTTGGCCAGTGTGCCATATCATTTCTGTATATTGCATCGTTACTTACTGGTTTGTTGTTTTAGCAGAATGTCAGTAAGTGTAACTTACTAGGTCATAATCAGGGGTTTATGATTAATTATGTATTCTGATGTAGTGGTTTGCCTGCCCGTACTCTGCCTTGTGCCCTGTCCGGTTTTTCTTTGGGGTCCTCCTGGGCTCCTTGCCGCTGGCGCTTGTTGCTGGGTCGGGTGGGGGCTGCGTTCATTGAATGCCGCCTTTCCTTGTCGATCTTGTTTATCATATTTTATGGCCCCTTATGTAATGGACTTTATTGATCTATAAGATCATGCCCTAAGGGCTGGTGTTTTATGACTTGTATATTCATATCAAGTTACCACCAATTAATTAAAAGGGAAGATTAAAAGATAGCTAATTTACTTATGTAACTTTAGATTGAAAAACTTGGTCATTTTATTGCAATAAAATTTATCATAATTTATTTGATATTATTGCATAAATTATTAGTAACTTAATAATAAGCATTTTCATTTTTTCTGAAGTCACCATGAATTTAAGAACTTTACTACTTTGAGTGAAGCTGTACTAATTTCTAATTCTCAGGCTTATTATCATTTTGAGCACCAAGAAATTAAAGTCCAAAAGTACATAGGTATTACTTAATTACAATGGTGAAAGTCAAAATAAGTTGACATTATGCAATTTATTCTTTTTGATTTTATAATTTATTTCTCATGAAAGATAAAAAAAAGCATGACCCAAGGAAATTTCTAAAACTATCCACTAGTTTTTTTTAAGCAGATTTATATTTTATTCTAAAAAAAAATCAATATCAAGTGTTTATGTTAAGTCTCTCTGAAAATACACAACAAGATGTTATATCAGCATTTAATAACACTTCCAGATATCTTGATGACATTTTTAATTTAGATAATTCTTTTTTTGATCAAATGGTGTCTAATATTTATCCTACGGAGCTACAACTTAATAAAACGAATTTTTGAAATTTAACTACATCATTTTTGGATCTTCATATCACTATCAAAAACAATTCGATTCACACGAAAATTTATGATAAAAGAGATGACTTTGATTTTAGTATAGTAAATTATCCTCATTTGGATGGAGACGTACCGCACGCAACATCTTACGGGGTTTATATATCTCAGTTAATTAGATTTGCTAGAGCTTGTAGCAACGTAAAGGATTTTAACGAGCGAAATATTTTCATTACCGGTAAGCTTCTAAAACAGGGCTACCGCTATTATAAATTACGTAAATATTTTACAAAATTTTACAATCGTAACTTTGATTTAATTTCAAAATTCAATAGTGATCTAAAAACACTTCTGCGACAAGGGATTAGCCAGCCTGATTTTTACGGTGATGTTGTTTACAAACTTCGTAAGATCTTGGGTCATTGTAATTTTTCTGTTGTGTTTACTAAAATTATAAAACGTTTTATTAAAAGGGGTTATGACCCTACTATTTTAAGACATACCGCATGCTTGGTGTTCAACCCATTTACAGTTGGACACTACGCTTTCCTCTTTTGATTACATCTGACGGGCCAAGTGGGAGACTCTACGATGGACAGTTCTTTAAACCTTTTGGGACTAAATTGTCTTAATGTTCGTTTTCTGTCTTGCTTTGTCGGGCCCTTGTAGGTGATTATCTTATTGCTCTGTCTTCCTTTAGGACATTGATTACTTTTGTTATGGTCATTTGGTTTACTTTTATATGTTTCTACATTATCATTTTGGTGTTTTATTTATTTAACCTTTTGTAACCATAACAACTGTTAGAATTTCACTTGGCGGGGAATCATTTTATTAACACTCTCTCGATTAAAGAAACAAAGTGGGACTAAGAGTGATGTTTGGTGCATCAGTAACCGGTTTAAACTCCCCACCAGTACATGTGTTGCTGACCGTTCCAAGGCGGCGCGGCGCCCCTTTGTGTTTCTCAGATGTATGTCTATGTTGTTTCATACTGTTTTGGTGACACTTTTGCTCGTGTCTCTTGTTGTTTCTCGTCTACGGTAAGTATCTTCCCTTTGTCCCTAGTTTTTATTTATTTTATTCCCCCCCCCCCTTCCCCGTGTCTCATGTCCCCTTCCCCCGTGCCTTTTGACATTATGAGCCTTATATTAAATCATTTATTTGTTTTGTTTTAGTTCCTTATAAGTTACTAATTATGTATTCTGATGTAGTGGTTTGCCTGCCCGTACTCTGCCTTGTGCCCTGTCCTGTTTTTCTTTGGGGTCCTCCTGGGCTCCTTGCCGCTGGCGCTTGTTGCTGGGTCGGGTGGGGGCTGCGTTCATTGAATGCCGCCTTTCCTTGTCGATCTTGTTTATCATATTTTATTGGTCAATCACCATTGTAACAGTCAATGTCTTTATATATATAGTTAATTCAGATCAGCTTGAAGATGAAAAAAATGAGCATAATGTCACTTAAAAAATATTTTTGTTGTGAAATGGGTGAACATGGTTGGTATTAGGCAATTTGTTGTAGTAAAGAATGAAATTTTTAAGCAATTTGCTTGTTGTGCATGAACCAGTTGCGAAAATAACTAAAAAATAAAAATCAGACATATTTCTGTCAGTAATCTTTTCAATCAAATACTTTTAAATATCAGCTTTGACAGCTTATTTCTTATAATATTTAAAACAAAATACTATTTATTAATCACACTTATGCAGATTGGATAAGGGGCCAGTTCATAGAATTTTTCCAGTTATTCTAGAGAGGGTGTAAAATAATATAGTAGACACAAACAGAATCCCTAAAGAAAGTCATGACACCATTGAAAATGTTGCAGGCTCGTTTGGTTGAGCCTGTTCATGGACGGTACTGGAAAGTGCAAGTTACCGTCCACACCCCCTAGCACCGGCTTAAGGAGAATTCAACATTTAACGAGAAAATGGTGAAATTGTGAATTTAGAAACATCTGCAGATGTGTTCAAACGGCAGTCATCATGGAACCTTCAATGCGACACAGTAGTGTCATTCCATGAAAAGCGGGTATGATCCCCAAAATAGATAAATACAGAATCCCTAAAGAAAGCCCAACACGGCAAAATTGAAAATGTTGCAGGCTCGGTTTGATTGAGCCTGTTCATGGACGGTACTGGAAAGTGCAAGTTACCGTCCACGCCCCCTAGCACCGGCTTAAGCAGAATTCAACATTTAAACATGAAATAGTAAAATTTAATTTAGAAACATCCGCAGATGTGTTCATACGGCGGTTATCATGGAACCTTCAATGTGACACTTCCGTGCCATTCCATGAAAAGCGGCGTATGGTCCCCAAGTAATAAAAAGCGTGTGCCCTAAACGAGAAAACAATGGGCGGAACTAAATAACATGGAATTTTGAAAGGGGATCAGAGGTTATGAAGCCTGCGTATCACAGATAAGACGTCAAAAGACAAATTTAAAAAGCAGGCAACATATCCTAAGGGTGATTCAACATTATTCAAGTAGGAATATTGGAACCACCCAACTATAAAATGCCGAAAAGTTGAAACTAAAAATACCACAAGCACAACAAAAATGTCGTGCTGAACGATCTTCAAGGATCGAAAATATAACATCATTGATTAAATGTACGGGGAGACTTTTTACAGCCGCCACACGGCACAAATAACACGGATGTGATCATAAAATAGATAAATACAGAATCCCTAAAGAAAGCCCAACACGGCAAAATTGAAAATGTTGCAGGCTCGGTTTGATTGAAGTAAGTAAAAGTAAAAGAATGCGTGTGCCCTAAACACGAAAACAATGGGCGGAAATAAATAAAATGGAATTTTGAAAGGGGATCTGAGGTTATGAATCCTGCATATCACAGACAAGACGTCAAAATACCCTGAGGGAGAAACAATGTATTGCATATTTTTCAATAAAAAACAATAATAAGCGATATCAAGCTGTACGTAAGGTAGGGGTCATTTACCCCTTACCCTACCTTCTGTAATCCTGCATGAGAACAGTCTCTTGAGTGGCCCACTGACTGAGCCCTTTCTGAAATTTAACTTCTTTGCAGCTCAAATTTGGGGGCTAAATGGTTTGGATGGGGTTTATAAAAGTGATCATACATATAATGCCTAGGCAAGCATAGGCGGTTAAAATTGTCGGAATTTCTCACAGCAAAGCAGTTGAATAACACGATCAACATTTATTTTACCACCTAGCAGGATTTGACACACGAAAAAACAGCCTTGAGCAGCTCATTTCCTCACCTTTCTAAAAAAAAAAGCTTGGGAGCTTCCAAGAGTCCAGGGATGCCTGTGTCCCATGCATTTAGCATACCACAAAAGCCCAAAAATTGACCACAAGGGCATTTATTATGTAGATTATGATCCCCTTCGACCGACATGTTTTCTAACATCAGTTTCTAAAATCAGTCAGTCTTGCAGTCAAAATATTGAGACTAATAACAGTACTGAGTATACAAAAACTATTTAATTAGTATACTGTAGCCTAATATATTACAGTAATTTTGGAACTTGTACAAATGCTTAGATCTTACCGATTTTCTATTCCTTTTCTCAAAGCCTCCATAGGATGTCCTTTTCCTCTTTGGTGGCCCTAGGTGGCTTACTGATGAAGGTTTGTTGTTGTTTTTAAACTCTTCAATTTCTGGAAAAATTGTAGGGACAGCACCTTTAACAAGCTGTAGTTTCAAAGTCAAACCAACTGAGTTCATTATACTCGGTGGATGTACAAATGACTCGTCGGTGAAATGTCTAGAGCACAAACGTGAAGTTTTCGTCGGCACAAATGGCTTTAACGTTCCGTTCACATTTCTCAATGATTTCACGGCATTTGTCCACTTCTTCCTAAAAGTATCATCCTTCGGGAATAGAAAAAAACCTTTCGTTCCACCGTCACTTTTGTTACGGCATCCAAATGCCACACAGTGCACCATGTTTTCCTTTCGAACACAAATTACGGTGATAAACTATTAAATAAAACAATAGTAAATCCTTTAAACAATGTTAAATGCACCTTCCTTTATTACACACACAATATAACACAATATACACAGCTGACACTTCGCTATTTTGATGTATTCGCGGGAAATGTTTACACACGAATGACTGTCACGCAGTTTGACGCGGTGGATAGGAATATTCCTACGTCATCACCAAAAATGGCGGCGGAAATTACCGATCGCGTTACGGAAAAAAACGACTTACTAAATCACATTTTTTTTACAAAAGGAATTTACAAAACATTTTTTCAAAACGATTTTTGAAATCTACGTATTAAATTTTATAAAAATTTGTAAAATATATGCAATTTTGCAAATTCACCTTTAATTACCGGCTTAATTGAACCTAACTGGCTTAATTATTTAAAACTGTAAGAAGACAGTACAGTAAGAAGACTTGTAGCGACGCACAGCCCTTAATATTTCACTTTCGTTTCATGGGCTGGTCAAACGTACACCGTTTACTACAAATGAGGGATATTTGAATGTAATAAAATTCCCACCCTTATCAGATTCTAAGTTAGTAAGATAATTCACAGCAATTATGCATAAGGGGGGAATTCTCTTTATTTCTTATGTTTACTAAATAAAACCAATATTTACTCACCCTTCCAGTCACATTTGTAAATTTTGCAGGCACACATCCCTAGAAATCAGTAACCAGATAATAATCTAAGATCAACAGAGATTTATTCCTTCTCTAGGTTTATTAATCCCATTTTTTGCCACATATACGAAATGATCACAGCACTATAATTATATTGAAACTATACCGCGTGCAGAAACAATACACCTACTGACCCAATGACATATTTTTGTGTAAATTACAGAAGTTTATTTAACGGCACAGTAGAAAGCGCGTGCTACCAGCTGACCAATCACAATGCAATAGAATTCAGGTTAAGAAAAGGTTAAAGTTGACAGACGATATTTGTTAACAATTTATTCTAGACATGTTGATTCAGTACTGTCTTCCTTTCATATACACAAGAAATTTGGTTGCGAACAAATATTCATAATTCATATTTTTGAATGAATGTTGTCCTCTGTAGACATGGTTTTATATATATTTAGGATTCTTTTTCTCGTGTTTATGTATTTGTATGCATACTGAGATAATCAAATAAACTTGAAACTTGAATAAAGTGGATTTGTTTTTTAATTTTGTATTCCCGAGGTTCCTCAACTTACTGTCAGATCAATTATAATAAGAGGTCACAGTCTTGTCCTACATTCTTTAATTTCTAGTAATTTCTCTGAAAATAATACGTATTTCCGTTAATACGTTTTTACTATAGTTAAATTCCCTAATTGTACTTATAGACAACCACGAGGTGGCTTGAATGGTCAGTACACACAATATTCATAGTAATGATTTTAGTAAGAAAGAGAGGTCCACATAGTTCATGAAAAAAGAAACAATCCACTAAATATACTATGAAACTAGTATATTAAATGTGTTCAGGTGAAGAGTAGTTCTGAAAATGAAAATAGGCTAATCCTGTAAATAAGAATCCATTTAATTTTCTATTTAATATGTTTATGTGTATAACAGATCTGAATAAGTGTCTGATTTATAACAGTCATATTATTGTTGCGTGTGCTAATAAAGATAATACTGAGTTTGGAAGGTTCAGTATGTCAAGAATTATATTCAAGACATTTCGAGACTATAAACGTAAAGTTGATGGTTCCAACTACTACTACTGCTGCTGATGATGATGATGAAGATAAGCATATTTTCGTACTTAATTTTTCACTGATTTTATACTGACCATAATTTTGATATGTAATTATGAAGTTAAGAAATCCAAAAACACACTATGGAAAGATCAGCTTAAAAATATCAAAAAACAAAAACAAACATCAAATGTGGCATACTAACTTTGTCTGCTACAAGGATTGAATTGCTGTAAAAAACGTTAGAACAGTTTTCGACCTTGTTTTTCTTAGGACCAATACGTAAAAGTATGAAATACATTTATTCATTCCATCGGCAGTACAAATGCGTCATGATAGTGAAGATAATGGCACATTTTCTTATTGTCGGACCGTGTTTTGTCACGTATTACTCTACAATAAAATTGAGTCCTTATTTAATGTCATAATCAGAGTAACCAAACAAGTCCTAGCTTAGCCGGTGCTAGGGGGCGTGGACGGTGGTTTGCACTTGACAGTTCCGCCCATAAATAGGCTCAATCAAACCGAGCCTGCAACATTTTCAATTTTGCCGTGTTGTGCTTTCTTTCGGGATTCTTATTTTCTTTACTTTACAACACGTACAAAAATAGATCTTTTTAAGTAATGACATAATATAAATATATTGTAATTTGTTTTTATTTAATCATTGTTGTAATAATTATTGGACACGTAAGTCAAGTCAAAAAGGGACATGACATGAGTTGAGAGTTTAATACCAATTATCAAAATATTACCTTTCATCGAAGAGATAAATACATGTTTTCTTAGAATAGAAGTCGTATTAAAATGTTGACGACGTCACCTCTTTGTAATTACGTTCTTAACAACCTACGCTTTCCGCGAAAAATGTCTAATTTCAGCCGCTTTCTACTTAATTAAGCCGTGTTTCAAACCACAAGGAAATAATGAACAGGAAAGTGTCTGGAAAGACTATTAAGATTCGAGCCACAAGCATCTCTCATGATAAGTAAAAGATTCATCTTCCTATCATTATCTCCCCTTGAATGATACAAATCTCTTTTAACTGCATAAAATGATGGTTTATATAACATTATAATTATATAAGTCTGAACCACAAACCTGCGTGCATAATTTCAGACCATTCGTTCATTTTTTTAAAGTAATTATTTATTTGTGAAAACGGACCTAAAACTGAAAAAATTTAAATACTTTGAAATCTTTTTAAGAATAGCACGAATTATACGGATATACGATGTTCGATTAAATTCGGAGTATATTTCTTCATGAGCCCTTGCATATTGTTCTGCTTTAAGTGATTCTTTTAGAAATTCAATTTGAATGTGTTATGCTTTTTTACCTCTGTTGGGTTCTTTTGTAAGTTAAAAGATCTGTCAAAGAAATTTGCACGGCTTTGGTTTAGAAACAGGTTTGCCTACTATTCAGTAAATAGCTGACTTATTCAATGTAAAAAAAGAAAAGGAAAAAAAGTTAATATAAATATAAAAGTGGACCAAGTTATGATATCGAAATGGTACACACCGAGGTGATTAAGGGCCCAGATTCTTTAAGTTGTGCTTTAACTATCTAACTAGAAGAAAGATAACACATTAATCATTCCACACAACAAACTCGTTTTCCATCAAAATGTAAACAAAACATGCTTTTTTGAAGCTCAATTTATTAAAAGTAAAAAAAACCCTTAACAATGTGATCAACAAAGAAAATTTTTTTCGGTAAAAAGAAATAAAAATAAAAATCTTAAATTGAAGTTTCTTTATTTAAATTGTCCAAATTTACAAAAAGATCTGAAAAGAATGTCTCATTTATTGCAGTTTTTCTCAGTGTTCTACTTCAGACCAATCTAGTCCAATGATCCGCAATAATACCTATATTAATGATGACCCAATTTCATAATTAATGGTCGAGTATAGCTTACCATAATTATTCGTAATTCAGAAAAAATTGTAAAAGTAACTGCTATTTAGAATTATGCTGATAGAAATATTACTTCGTTTAAAGAAAGACTTTTTACAGTCCGTCGCAAAAAATGATCATCAAATCTATTTAGGTAAAGTTTAAGTATAATAAAAAGAACAATTTCTGTCAAAATCGATACAGTATTAAAATTATCCTATTAATCAAATAATGCATTTTCAAAAACTAAGTTAAATTTTTAAAAGATATCTCATACGTCTAGTTAAATTTGTCTAGCTTATTTTCAACTAATTTATTTAAATGGATATAAGTAACACCAACACTTAATTGAAATAACATAATAATTATATTTGTTCGTTTCAACATTTTATTGGAAATGCGCTCGATTGTTGTTCCTTATTATCTTGGTATGACACACCTTTATATTGTTCATATCCACTCATGCGTCATTAGAATGACGAGAATGAGTTCACCTCAGACGATCGTGTTTAATTTGTGAGACGTGGTTTGGTCACGTACAAATTACTCTTTCAAACGAAAATATAATGACACTTAAAATGCACCCTATGTACATAGTCTGATCACTGAACAAAACTTAACGAACAGCATGTAGACAAGGGAGTATTGTTAAGGCAGCGTCATGAAATTGAAACAATGTCAAAATCCTTTTTATTTATTAATAAGTGTCAATAATTTTCTTTATACACGCCGTAAAAAAACAAAAAATTATGTTTAGTTCCAATAATTTATTTTGGGGGTTTTGGTTGAAGGAAAATCCGGGACTAAATTTAGATTTTTGCAATATCTTAAGTCATTTTTATAAAAAAAAAATTGGGACCTAACAAATTCATCAAAGACTTTAAACCCAAAACACGAAAAAAATTTATAAAATGGAAATATTTACTTTTTTAAGATTCTAAATGGATACTAAAACATTTTTTGTGTAGGTTTTATTATTATGTAAAATTTTTAACCCTTATTACAAAAAATTTCCCCAATAGGTTGTGGGAAGAAAATTTTAAAAAACCTTCCGAGAGGTAAGTAAAGAGTACGTTTTGAGACAGTTTGTAAACAAAAAATTGAGGTATTTAGACAGCCATTAGCAGTTTTTCAAATTAACACACATCATCACAGTCTGTCCTGCTATATTGCTAGGTGACCATGTCTTTGTTTGTTTGTTAAAAAAAGTTAAAACAATGTTTTTATCAAGTATCGGTGTTACATATATGTCGGTGTTTCATGTACCTCTCAACCAGTATTTCAAATGAATTTCAAATCAAGATAGTGTTGTTTCAATTTGTTATTATAATATTTATTTATAATTATTTGATTTTAAA